TTAGCGCTGAAGTGCCAATTCCGTATAAGATTGGCGGTGCTATGATCGTGTTGTAAATTATCATTTTCAAGCTGTCTGGTATTTTCTTCTCTCGTAAGAAGTTCCAGATTCCGTGTGTGATTCTGAATGCGTTGGTTATTCCGTCTTTCACTGCGTTATGCCTGCTGAGGGTGCTGCTTATGTACGTTCCCAGATATTATTGATCTTGTGCTTTATGGTTATCTCCTTCCCGGCTATTACCGTCTTCTCTCCTTTGTACGAGGGGTGTTGTGTATTTGTAGGTCCACAATTTCCAGGTGTACCTGGTACCTCGCTGGCCTGGACGAAGTCCTCAGTGTCTTCTAAATTATCCGCGATTACGAGTAGATCGTCCGCGTAGGTACGCCAGTAATGTCGGTATTTGTAATTGGCCGCCTGTGCTAAGGTTCCTCACTACCATCCTTGTTTGTTTTATAGCGTGGTAAGTGCTATCGCGAAGAGCTTTGGGGAAGCGGACATCCTTGTTTGATTCCCCTGGTTTTCTTTTGGTGTTATATTTTCCCCCAAAACCATTGTATACTAGTATACTCCCTTTGCCACGCGTTTATGGTTCTGTTGATTAGGAATTTGGGTAGTCCCAGCATCGTCCACGCTGTCCTGTCATTGGAATATATTTTCTGTTTCCCCCTCGTTTCCTCCTTTTGTATTTTCTGATGTTCTTATAGCGGTTCGCCGATCCTGTTCCAATATGCTATCCCTTCCCCCTTTTTGCTTCTAATCTCTTACTACTCCTTTCGGTACTCCTTCCATTTCTTCTCCCCTGACAGAAGTTTCACATTCCACCATTTTGGACTTGCTGAATATGTTTTCTACCCTCAGTCCATTTAGGTGTACCATGTTCCTAAAGGTCGCTGCCGTTCCCTTCCTCCTCTTCACGTCCGTCCAGTCTGCCTAGTTGCGCATTGAAGTCGCCTAGTATGATACCCAGTTTCTTTCCGCACTTTTTTTCTGTTCTTTCACTTCGATTTCTGAGTTCCGCCTGCCCTCTTTTGTCCGAGGGGATGTGGCATCCTATGATTGTTAGTCTTCTTATTTTCATCTTGATTTGGGCCATGGAAATACTCTTGCTTTCCCTTCAAATTTCTCCACCTCAATGCTTCGGTGCTCCTTGATTACGATTTCCGTAACTCTGCTGGTTCTCTCCTTCTTCCCTCCATACCTATCCGTCTACATCTCCTATCAATTGTGGGTAGAAATCTTCCAGGTTTTCCCTGATGTATGCTATTTTTAAATTTGAATTGCGAATGGCCTATGAAAACGTATCCTGGAAACCTGAAAAGTGAGGTAAACTTCGGACAACAGTATTTCCTTCTCCATCCCCAAAAAAACGTCTGCAATGGAAATCAAAGGATTATAAAAGGATCTCTCAAAGGCAATGAATGAAAAAATATTTGACGCACCCGTGTATTCTGTTTCAAAGCAGTGTTAGGTAACTTTTTCTACAGATTGGAAAGTCCATTACATTAGAAAAACATCAAAGTTAAATGGCAACACAAGATCTATCCCAAAGGAATACGCTGGTTACTTTATAATTATTCGCAGATGTCACAAAGACCTGGCACTCGCAATTTCATTATTACATATTTAATAATAGTTTATTGATTCCAGAACATGAAATCCAATTCGAAGTTTAAGAGGTCGTCTCATTCCTTGAAGGCCCCAATTTTAAATAATTACCGGGCAGTCTTTGAATATCAAAGTTGTCATCTCACCGTAAAAGCTGTCCACTGGTTTACTAATGCAATAAAGAATAATAAATTTAGGTTTTGTTTTAATGAATCGAGGATTCTCCTGCAAAACGCCCTACATGAATTATGCTGGGATAATTGAATTACTTGCAAGTATTCCTAGCTTCAAAACTATAGGTAAGTGAAACCAAGGAAAAATAAACATTTGCTTTGTGGACGAATTCTGACCACAAAGTTACACAAGTAGTTATATCTGACATCTTTAGATGATGCGCCATCCTCGTAAGAAAAATTTCTGGACACATGTCTCCTAGAAGGACGAAATTACTGTTTGAACCTAAGAGAGTCTGTAGTGACTTTTTCTATGCAGTTTCTGACGAGCATCTAAGTAAGGACCTGGTTAAAGTGACGCATCGATTACTTTAAATTGAATTATTTTTTAATACCAAATCAACAATTACAAACTGCAGGGCCCTGACATTCATAAATAATGAATTTAGAATTAGAGAACCCTTTTATTTGCATGCGCAAAACCAACACAAATTACGACAACGAGTCAAACCATACAAAATCCACGGTCCCCAAAGCTACACAAAAAGGTAAAAGAAACTCACCATTTCCACGTAAAAAGCGTTTCACACGAACGGAGCAAACATACCGCACTTATCGAGGATCCATTCTTAATGATTTGGTGGACAACAGCATCATTCCATGGCCTTGTCCTTCATCCCCAAAAAAACGTCTGCAATGGAAATAATGGAATCGACTCTAAAAGGATTCATCAGAGGCAATGAAGGTGAAGGTATTTGACGCAACCGTGTATTCTGTTCCAAAGTAGTGCTAGCCAGGCTCCATTTTAAATTAAAGTTTTAGATACGAAACCGAGGCAACTTTATCTACCGATTGGAAGGTCCATTCCATTAGCAAGACGTCGAATCTAAATGGCAACACAAGATCTATCCCAAAGGAATAAGCTGGTTACTTGTTAATTATTCGCAGATGCCACATAGATCTGGCAGCTTTCGCTTTTTGCATATTTTATAATAGTTTATTGATACCAGAACATTAAATCCAATTCGAAGTTTAAGACGTCGATTCATTCCTTGAAGGCCCCAATTTAAAAAAAATACCGGTTAGTCTTTGAATATAAAAGTTGCCATCTCACCGTAAAAGCGATCCACTGGTTTACTAATGCAATAAAGAATAATACATTTGGGATTTGTTTACATTGAAACGACGATTCTCCTGCAAAACGCCCTACATCAATTATTATACTGGGATAATTAAATTACTTGCAAGTATTAATTCCTAGCTTCAAAGCTATAAGAGAAACCTATAGGAAAAATAAACATTTGCCCTAAAAGGTTTTATATACACTCACCATAAACCACCCCTAAAAATTTGTGGACGAATTTTGACCACAAAGATACACAAGTAGTTATCTGACATCTTTAGATGATGTGCCATCCACGTAAGAAAAATTTCTGGACACTTGTCTCCTAGAAGGACGAAATTACTGTTTGAACCTAAGAGAATCTGTAGTGACTTTTTCTATGCCGTTTCTGGTGAGCATCTAAGTAAGGACCCTGGTTCAAGTGACACAACGATTACTTATAAAATGCCCTTTAGATTGAATTATTGTTTAATACCAAATCAACAATTACAAACTGCAGGTCCCTGCCATTCATAAATAATGAATTTAAAAAAGCTACACCTAAGCAAAAATGTAAAAGAAACTCACCACTTCCACGTAGAAAGCGTTTCACACGAACGGAACACACATACAACCGCACTTATCGACGATTCATTCATAAATGATTTGCACTTACGAATAAATTCACGTAATAACGGCGATAAAGGTACTTACATAAGAAGAAACCGATAACCTAATAACATGCCTGTATAATCCTTTTAGACAGTGACGCATCTCAAACTATACACCCACACTTTTAAATGTAGTAGGTCAATTCCAAAAATTCTGTTCCATTTCCAGATCTTTGCTATTTCACGAAAAATGGACAAATTTCAAATCCGCCGCGAAGAAGACTTTTTCTCACAAATTTTGGCGTATATAGTCCAAACAGATACAACTTTTGAGGCAGTGGTCCAATTAATATTTTCGATTCTATAATATCCAATTCGAAGTTTAAGAGGTCGCCTGATTCCTTGAAGGCCCCAATTTTAAATAAATACCGGGCAGTCTTTGAATATCAAAGTCAAAGTTGCCATCTCACCGTAAAAGCTGTCCACTGGTTTACTAATGCAATAAAAAATAATAAATTTGGGTTTTCTTTTAATTCTCCTGCAAAAAGCCCTACATGAATTATGCTGGGATAATTGAATTACTTGCAAGTATTCCTAGCTTCAAGACTATAAGCGAAACCTAGGACAAATAAACATTTGCTTGTGGACGAATTCTGACTACAATGATACACATGTAGTTATCTGACATCTTTAGATGATGCGCCATCCTCGTAAGAAAAATTTCTGGACACATGTCTCCTAGAAGGACGAAATTACTGTTTGAACCTAAGAGAATCTGTAGTGACATTTTCTATGCGGTTTCTGGTGAGCATCTGAGGACCCTGGTTCAAGTGACAACGATTACTTATAAAATGCTCTTTAAATTGAATTATTTTTTAATATCAAATCAACAATTACAAACTGCAGGGCCCTGACAATAACTAAAAATTTAAAATTAGAGAACCCTTTTATTTGCAAGCGTGCAACAACCACACAAATTACGACAACGACTTAAACCATACAAAACACACAGTCCCCAAAGTTACACATAAGCAAAAATGTAAAAGAAACTCACCATTTCCACGTAGAAAGCGTTTCACACGAACGGAATACACATACAACCGCACGTATCGACGATCGATAGTAGGTCAATTCCAAAAATTCTGTTCCATTTCCAGATCTTTGCTATTTCACGAAAAATGGACAAATTTCAAATCCGCCGCGAAGAAGACTTTTTTTCACAAATTTTGGCGTATATAGTCCAAACAGATACAACTTTTGAGGCAGTGGTCCAATTAATATTTTCGATTCTATAATATCCAATTCGAAGTTTAAGAGGTCGCCTGATTCCTTGAAGGCCCCAATTTTAAATAAATACCGGGCAGTCTTTGAATATCAAAGTGTCCTACCGTAAAAGCTGTCCACTGGTTTACTAATGCAATAAAGAATAAAAATTTGCGTTTTCTTTTAATGAATCGAGGGTTCTCCTGCAAAACGCCCTACATGAATTATGCTGGGATAATTGAATTACTTGCAAGTATTCCTAGCTTCAAAACTATAGGTAAGTGAAACCAAGGAAAAATAAACATTTGCTTGTGGACGAATTCTGACTACAATGATACACAAGTAGCTATCTGACATCTTTAGATGATGCGCCATCCTCGTAATTTTATAATTTTAAGGTTCCTTATAGATCTATTAAACTAAATCGATCAAAGAAACAAAAATATTTGGCGCACCCCAAAAGTTACACCCCCACACTCGAGGATTGCCATGTATGCATATGAGAATACAGTAGAAAATTAAGTAAGTTTAAAACGAGAATGAAATTAATCTTTAATGAATCGAGGATTCTCCTGCAAAACGCCCTACATGATTTATGCTGGGATAATTAAATTACTTGCAAGTATTCCTAGCTTCAAAACTATAGGTAAGTGAAACCAAGGAAAAATAAACATTTGCTTTGTGGACGAATTCTGACCACAAAGTTACACAAGTAGTTATATCTGACATCTTTAGATGATGCGCCATCCTCGTAAGAAAAATTTCTGGACACATGTCTCCTAGAAGGACGAAATTACTGTTTGAACCTAAGAGAGTCTGTAGTGACTTTTTCTATGCCGTTTCTGACGAGCATCTAAGTAAGGACCTGGTTAAAGTGACGCATCGATTACTTTAAATTGAATTATTTTTTAATACCAAATCAACAATTACAAACTGCAGGGCCCTGACATTCATAAATAATGAATTTAGAATTAGAGAACCCTTTTATTTGCATGCGCAAAACCAACACAAATTACGACAACGAGTCAAACCATACAAAATACACGGTCCCCAAAGCTACACAAAAAGGTAAAAGAAACTCACCATTTCCACGTAAAAAGCGTTTCACACGAACGGAGCAAACATACCGCACTTATCGAGGATCCATTCTTAATGATTTGGTGGACAACAGCATCATTCCATGGCCTTGTCCTTCATCCCCAAAAAAACGTCTGCAATGGAAATAATGGAATCGACTCTAAAAGGATTCATCAGAGGCAATGAAGGTGAAGGTATTTGACGCACCCGTGTATTCTGTTCCAAAGTAGTGCTAGCCAGCTCCATTTTAAATTAAAGTTTTAGATACGAAACCGAGGCAACTTTATCTACCGATTGGAAGGTCCATTCCATTAGCAAGACGTCGAATCTAAATGGCAACACAAGATCTATCCCAAAGGAATAAGCTGGTTACTTGTTAATTATTCGCAGATGCCACATAGATCTGGCAGCTTTCGCTTTTTGCATATTTTATAATAGTTTATTGATACCAGAACATTAAATCCAATTCGAAGTTTAAGACGTCGATTCATTCCTTGAAGGCCCCAATTTTAAAAAAATACCGGTTAGTCTTTGAATATCAAAGTTGCCATCTCACCGTAAAAGCGGTCCACTGGTTTACTAATGCAATAAAGAATAATACATTTGAGATTTGTTTACATTGAAACGACGATTCTCCTGCAAAACGCCCTACATCAATTATTATGCTGGGATAATTAAATTACTTGCAAGTATTCCTAACTTCAAAACTATAAGAGAAACCTAGGAAAAATAAACATTTGCTTGTGGACGAATTCTGACCACAAAGTTACACAAGTAGTTATCTGACATCTTTAGATGATGCGCCATCCTCGTAAGAAAAATTTCTGGACACATGTCTCCTAGAAGGACGAAATTACTGTTTGAACCTAAGAGAATCTGTAGTGACATTTTCTATGCGGTTTCTGGTGAGCATCTGAGGACCCTGGTTCAAGTGACAACGATTACTTATAAAATGCTCTTTAAATTGAATTATTTTTTAATACCAAATCAACAATTACAAACTGCAGGGCCCTGACATTCATAAATAATGAATTAAAAAAAGCTACACCTAAGCAAAAATGTAAAAGAAACTCACCACTTCCACGTAGAAAGCGTTTCACACGAACGGAACACACATACAACCGCACTTATCGACGATGATTTGGCGGACAACAGTATCATTCCATGGCCTTCTCCTTCATCCCCAAAAAAACGTCTACAATGGAAATGAAAGAATTTTAAAAGGATCCCTCAAAAGCAATGGATGAGAGAATATTTGACGCACCCGTGTATTCTGTTTCAAAGTGGTGGTAGCTCGCATCTTTTTGAATTTGAATTGCGAATCACTTTTGAAAACGTGTTCACGTCTTTGGACATCCCCGTGCATCTAGAACATTCCATGATCACTCCTTCGTCTAAAAAATCACTCTAAAACGATCCCCAGAGGCAATAGAGGTGACGCACCACCCGTGTATTCTGTTCCAAAGTAGTGCTAGCCAGCTCCATTTTAAATTAAAGTTTTAGATACGAAACCGAGGCAACTTTATCTACCGATTGGAAGGTCCATTCCATTAGCAAGACGTCGAACCTAAATGGCAACACAAGATCTATCCCAAAGGAATAAGCTGGTTACTTGTTAATTATTCGCAGATGCCACATAGATCTGGCAGCTTTCGCTTTTTGCATATTTTATAATAGTTTATTGATACCAGAACATTAAATCCAATTCGAAGTTTAAGAGGTCAATTCATTCCTTGAAAGCCCCAATTTTAAATAAATACCAGTCAGTCTATGAATATCAAAGTTGCCATCTCACCGTAAAAGCTGTCCACCGGTTTACTAAGGCAATAAAGAATAATAATTAATTTGGGGGTTGTTTTTATTGAAACGAAGATTCTCCTGCAAAACGTCCTACATCAATATTATACTGGGATAATTAAATTACTTGCAAGTATTAATTCCTAGGTTTCTCTTATAGCTTTGAAAATAAACATTTGCCCTACAAGGTTTTATATACACTCAACATTAACCACCCCTAAAAATTTGTGGACGAATTTTGACCACAAAGATACACAAGTAGTTATCTGACATCTTTAGATGATGCGCCATCCACGTAAGAAAAATTTCTGGACACTTGTCTCCTAGAAGGACCAAATTACTGTTTGAACCTAAGAGGATCTGTAGTAACTTTTTCTATGCCGTTTCTGACGAGCATCTAAGTAAGTAAGGACCTGGTTAAAGTGACGCTTCGATTACTGATAAAATGCTCTTTAAATTGAATTATTTTTTAATATCAAATCAACAATTACAAACTGCAGGGCTCTGACAGTAACTAAAAATTTAAAATTAGAGAACCTTTTTATTTGCAAGCGTGCAACAACCACACAAATTACGACAACGACTTAAACCATACAAAATACACAGTCCCCAAAGCTACACATAAGCAAAAAGGTAAAAGAAACTCACGATTTCCACGTAGAAAGCGTTTCACACGAACGGAATACACATACAACCGCACGTATCGACGATCCATTCATAAATGATTTGCACTTACGAATAAATTCACGTAATAACGGCGATAAAGGTACTTACATAAGAAGAAACCGGTAACCTAATAACATGCCTGTATAATCATTTTAGAGAGTGACGCATTTCAAACTATACACTCACACTTTTAAATGTAGTAGGTCAATCCCAAAAATACTGCTCCATTTCCAGATCTTTGCTATTTCACGAAAAATGGACAAATTTCAAATCGGCCGCGAAGAGACTTTTTCTCACATATTTTGGCGTATATAGTCCAAACAGATACAACTTTTTAGGCAGTGGTCCAAGTAATATTTTCGATTCTATAATATCCACTTCGAAGTTTAAGAGGTCGCCTCATTCCTTGAAGGCCCCAATTTTAAATAAATACCGGGCAGTCTTTGAATATCAAAGTTGTCATCCTACCGTAAAAGCTGTCCACTGGTTTACTAATGCAATAAAGAATAAAAATTTGCGTTTTCTTTTAATGAATCGAGGGTTCTCCTGCAAAACGCCCTACATGAATTATGCTGGGATAATTAAATTACTTGCAAGTATTCCTAGCTTCAAAACTATAAGAGAAACCTAGGAAAAATAAACATTTGCTTGTGGACGAATTCTGACTACAATGATACACAAGTAGTTATCTGACATCTTTAGATGATGCGCCATCCTCGTAATTTTATAATTTTAAGGTTCCTTATAGATCATTTGAACTTAATCGATCAATGAAACAAAAATATTTGGCGCACCCCAAAAGTTACAACCCCCACACTCGCGGATTACCATGTATGTATATGTGAGGACAGTAGAAAATTAAGTAAGTTTAATACGAGAATGAAATTAATCTTTAGAGGGGAGTTTTGGGGTTGCTTATAGATCATTTAAACTTAGTCGATCAAACAAACAAAAATAATTGGTGCACCCCAAAAGTTACAACCCCCACACTCTCGGATTGCCATATACGTATATGTGAAGACCAGTAGAAAATTAAATAAGTTTAAAACGGGAATGAACTTAATCTTTAATGAATCGAGGATTCTCCTGCAAAACGCCGTACATGAATTATACTGTGATAATTAAATTACTTGCAAGTATTCCTAGCTTCAAAACTATAAGAGAAACTTAGGAAAAAATAAACGTTTGCTCTACAAGGTTTTATATACATTCACTATCAACCCCTAAAAATTTGTGGACGAATTTTGACCACAAAGATACACAAGTAGTTATCTGACATCTTTAGATGATGCGCCACCCGCGTAAGAAAAATTTCTGGACACTTGTCTCCTAGGAGGACCAAATTACGATTTTAACCTAAGAGGATCTGTAGTGATTTTTTCTATGCCGTTTCTGACGAGCATCTAAGTAAGGACCCTGGTTCAAGTGACACAACGATTACTTATAAAATGCTCTTTAAATTGAATTATTTTTTAATATCAAATCAACAATTACAAACTGCAGGGCCCTGACAATAACTAAAAATTTAAAATTAGAGAACCCTTTTATTTGCAAGCGTGCAACAACCACACAAATTACGACAACGACTTAAACCATACAAAATACACAGTCCCCAAAGCTACACATAAGCAAAAAAGTAAAAGAAACTCACCATTTCCACACGTAGAAAGCGATTCACACGAACGGAACACACATACAACCGCACTTATCGACGATCCATTCATAAATGATTTGCACTTACGAATAAATTCACGTTATAAGGGCAATATAGGTACTTACATAAGAAGAAACCGGTAGCCTAATAACATGCCTGTATAATCATTTTAGAGAGTGACGCATCTCAAACTATACACTCACACTTTTAATTAATGTAGTAGGTCAATCCCAAATATACTGTTCCATTTCCAGATCTTTGCTATTTCACGAAAAATGGACAAATTTCAAATCGGCCGCGAAGAAGACTTTTTCTCACATATTTTGGCGTATACAGTCCAAACAGATACAACTTTTGAGGCAGTGGTCCAATTAATATTTTCGATTCTATAACATCCAATTCGAAGTTTAAAAGGTCGCCTCATTCCTTGAAGGCCCCAATTTTAAATAAATACCGGGCAGTCTTTGAATATCAAAGTGTCCTACCGTAAAAGCTGTCCACTGGTTTACTAATGCAATAAAGAATAAAAATTTGCGTTTTCTTTTAATGAATCGAGGGTTCTCCTGCAAAACGCCCTACATGAATTATGCTGGGATAATTAAATTACTTGCAAGTATTCCTAGCTTCAAAACTATAAGAGAAACCTAGGAAAAATAAACATTTGCTTGTGGACGAATTCTGACTACAATGATACACAAGTAGCTATCTGACATCTTTAGATGATGCGCCATCCTCGTTATTTTATAATTTTAAGGTTCCTTATAGATCATTTAAACTTAATCGATCAAACAAACAAAAATAATTGGCGCACCCCAAAAGTTACAACCCCCAAAGTCGAAGATCGCCAAGTATATTTATATGTGAATACAGTAGAAAATGAAGTAAGTTTAAAACTAGAATGAAATTAATCTTTAGAGGGTAATTTTGGGGTTGCTTTTAGATCATTTAAACTTAATCGATCAAACAACCAAAAATAACTGGCGCACCCCAAAAGTTACAACCCCCACACTCGCGGACTGCCATGTATGCATATGTGAAGACAGTAGACAATTAAGTAAGTTCAAAACGAGAATGAAATTAATCTTTAGAGGGTAGTTTTGGGGTTGCTTATAGATCATTTAAACTTAATCGATCAAACAACCAAAAATAATTGGCACACCCCAAAAGTTACCACCCCCACACTCGAGGATTGCAATGTATGTATATGTGAATACAGTAGAAAATTAAGTAAGTTTAAAACTAGAATGAAATTAATCTTTAGAGGGTAATTTTGGGGTTGCTTTTAGATCATTTAAACATAATCGATCAAACAAACAAAAATAACTGGCGCACCCCAAAAGTTACAACCCCCACACTCGCGGATTGCCATGTATGCATATGTGAAGACAGTAGACAATTAAGTAAGTTCAAAACGAGAATGAAATTAATCTTTAGAAGGTAGTTTTGGGGTTGCTTATACATCATTTAAACTTAATCAATCAAAGAAACAAAAATATTTGGCGCACCCCAAAAGTTACAACCCCCACCCTCGCGGATTGTCATGTATGCATATGTTAATACAGTAGAAAATTAAGCAAGTTTAAAACGAGAATAAACTTAATCTTTAATGAATCGAGGATTCTCCTGCAAAACGCCCTACATGATTTATGCTGGGATAATTAAATTACTTGCAAGTATTCCTAGCTTCAAAACTATTGAGACCAAGGAAAAATAAACATTTGCTTTGTGGACGAATTCTGACAAAAAAGATACACAAGTAGATATCTGACATCTTTAGATGATGCGCCATCCTCGTAAGAAAAATTTCTGGGCACTTGTCTCCTAGAAGGACCAAATTACTGTTTGAACCTAAGAGGATCTGTAGTAACTTTTTCTATGCCGTTTCTGACGAGCATCTAAGTAAGTAAGGACCTGGTTAAAGTGACGCTTCGATTACTGATAAAATGCTCTTTACATTGAATTATTTTTTAATACCAAATCAACAATTACAAACTGCAGGGCCCTGCCATTCTTTAATAATGAATTTAAAAAAGCTACACCTAAGCAAAAATGTAAAAGAAACTCACCACTTCCACTTAGAAAGCGTTTCACACGAACGGAACACACATACAACCGCACTTATCGACGATTCATTCATAAATGATTTGCACTTACGAATAAATCCACGTAATAACGGCGATAAAGGTACTTACATAAGAAGAAACCGATAACCTAATAACATGCCTGTATAATCCTTTTAGACAGTGACGCATCTCAAACTATACACCCACACTTTTAAATGTAGTAGGTCAATTCCAAAAATTCTGTTCCATTTCCAGATCTTTGCTATTTCACGAAAAATGGACAAATTTCAAATCCGCCGCGAAGAAGACTTTTTTTCACAAATTTTGGTGTATATAGTCCAAACAGATACAACTTTTGAGGCAGTGGTCCAATTAATATTTTCGATTCTATAATATCCAATTCGAAGTTTAAGAGGTCGCCTGATTCCTTGAAGGCCCCAATTTTAAATAAATACCGGGCAGTCTTTGAATATCAAAGATCAAAGTTGCCATCTCATCGTAAAAGCTGTCCACTGGTTTACTAATGCAATAAAGAATAATGAATTTGGGTTTTGTTTTAATGAATCGAGGATTCTCCTGCAAAACGCCCTACATGATTTATGCTGGGATAATTGAATTACTTGCAAGTATTCCTAGCTTCAAAACTATAGGTAAGTGAAACCAAGGAAAAATAAACATTTGCTTGTGGACGAATTCTGACTACAATGATACACAAGTAGCTATCTGACATAGATGATGCGCCATCCTCGTAATTTTATAATTTTAAGGTTCCTTATAGATCTATTAAACTAAATCGATCAAAGAAACAAAAATATTTGGCGCACCCCAAAAGTTACACCCCCACACTCGAGGATTGCCATGTATGCATATGAGAATACAGTAGAAAATTAAGTAAGTTTAAAACGAGAATGAAATTAATCTTTAATGAATCGAGGATTCTCCTGCAAAACGCCCTACATGATTTATGCTGGGATAATTAAATTACTTGCAAGTATTCCTAGCTTCAAAACTATAGGTAAGTGAAACCAAGGAAAAATAAACATTTGCTTTGTGGACGAATTCTGACCACAAAGTTACACAAGTAGTTATATCTGACATCTTTAGATGATGCGCCATCCTCGTAAGAAAAATTTCTGGACACATGTCTCCTAGAAGGACGAAATTACTGTTTGAACCTAAGAGAGTCTGTAGTGACTTTTTCTATGCCGTTTCTGACGAGCATCTAAGTAAGGACCTGGTTAAAGTGACGCATCGATTACTTTAAATTGAATTATTTTTTAATACCAAATCAACAATTACAAACTGCAGGGCCCTGACATTCATAAATAATGAATTTAGAATTAGAGAACCCTTTTATTTGCATGCGCAAAACCAACACAAATTACGACAACGAGTCAAACCATACAAAATACACGGTCCCCAAAGCTACACAAAAAGGTAAAAGAAACTCACCATTTCCACGTAAAAAGCGTTTCACACGAACGGAGCAAACATACCGCACTTATCGAGGATCCATTCTTAATGATTTGGTGGACAACAGCATCATTCCATGGCCTTGTCCTTCATCCCCAAAAAAACGTCTGCAATGGAAATAATGGAATCGACTCTAAAAGGATTCATCAGAGGCAATGAAGGTGAAGGTATTTGACGCACCCGTGTATTCTGTTCCAAAGTAGTGCTAGCCAGCTCCATTTTAAATTAAAGTTTTAGATACGAAACAGAGGCAACTTTATCTACCGATTGGAAGGTCCATTCCATTAGCAAGACGTCGAATCTAAATGGCAACACAAGATCTATCCCAAAGGAATAAGCTGGTTACTTGTTAATTATTCGCAGATGCCACATAGATCTGGCAGCTTTCGCTTTTTGCATATTTTATAATAGTTTATTGATACCAGAACATTAAATCCAATTCGAAGTTTAAGACGTCGATTCATTCCTTGAAGGCCCCAATTTTAAAAAAATACCGGTTAGTCTTTGAATATCAAAGTTGCCATCTCACCGTAAAAGCGGTCCACTGGTTTACTAATGCAATAAAGAATAATACATTTGAGATTTGTTTACATTGAAACGACGATTCTCCTGCAAAACGCCCTACATCAATTATTATGCTGGGATAATTAAATTACTTGCAAGTATTCCTAACTTCAAAACTATAAGAGAAACCTAGGAAAAATAAACATTTGCTTGTGGACGAATTCTGACCACAAAGTTACACAAGTAGTTATCTGACATCTTTAGATGATGCGCCATCCTCGTAAGAAAAATTTCTGGACACATGTCTCCTAGAAGGACGAAATTACTGTTTGAACCTAAGAGAATCTGTAGTGACATTTTCTATGCGGTTTCTGGTGAGCATCTGAGGACCCTGGTTCAAGTGACAACGATTACTTATAAAATGCTCTTTAAATTGAATTATTTTTTAATACCAAATCAACAATTACAAACTGCAGGGCCCTGACATTCATAAATAATGAATTAAAAAAAGCTACACCTAAGCAAAAATGTAAAAGAAACTCACCACTTCCACGTAGAAAGCGTTTCACACGAACGGAACACACATACAACCGCACTTATCGACGATGATTTGGCGGACAACAGTATCATTCCATGGCCTTCTCCTTCATCCCCAAAAAAACGTCTACAATGGAAATGAAAGAATTTTAAAAGGATCCCTCAAAAGCAATGGATGAGAGAATATTTGACGCACCCGTGTATTCTGTTTCAAAGTGGTGGTAGCTCGCATCTTTTTGAATTTGAATTGCGAATCACTTTTGAAAACGTGTTCACGTCTTTGGACATCCCCGTGCATCTAGAACATTCCATGATCACTCCTTCGTCTAAAAAATCACTCTAAAACGATCCCCAGAGGCAATAGAGGTGACGCACCCGTGTATTCTGTTCCAAAGTAGTGCTAGACAGCTCCATTTTAAATTAAAGTTTTAGATACGAAACCGAGGTAACTTTATCTACCGATTGGAAGGTCCATTCCGTTAGCAAAACGTCGAATTTAAATGGCAACACAAGATCTATCCCAAAGGAATAAGCTGGTTACTTTTTAATTAAGTATTCGCAGATGCCACAAAGACCTGTCAGCTTTCGCTATTTCATTATCACATATTATAATAATTTACTGATTCCAGAACATGAAATCCAATTCGAAGTTCGTCGTTTCATTCCTTGAAGGCCCCAATTTTAAATAAATACCGGGCAGTCTTTCAATATCAAAGTTGCCATCTCACCGTAAAAGCTGTCCACCGGTTTATTAATGCAAATACTTGCAAGAATTAATTCCTAGCTTCAAAGCTATAAGAGAAACTTAGGAAAAATAAACATTTGCTCTACAAGGTTTTATATACACTCACCATAAACCACCCCCAAAAATTTGTGGACGAATTCTGACCACAAATATGCACAAGTAGTTATCCGACATCTTTAGATGAGTAAGGACCTGGTTCAAGTCACACATCGATTACTTATAAAATGCTCTTTAAATTGAATAATTTTCGAATACCAAATCAACAATTACAAACTACAGGGCCCTGACATTCATAAATAATGAATTTAAAATTTTTTTTGAAATTTTAGAAAACACCTTGTATTTTGCAGATTTCTACAAATAGAGTGGTTTCCGTACTACGCATCTCGCCTTCCACAGACTCGTACGAGGATGATGACTCTAGAACAATAAAAATAAATCGTTACATGCTAAACTATGAATTGTGATTTAGTTGTTAACTTGAACCATAGAGTAGTAGGTACATTATTTACTCTATGCTTGAACTTTTATTAATAAAGTTACTCACCGTCATAACTGTATTAATTCGGTCTAACAACAAGACTATACCTACAGTCCGCTTTCCCTCCTCTAAAAAAATACATACAAAAATTCAATGTTTAACAAAAGAGGTGATGATACTAGATGAACCCATGCTTAACAAATTTAAACATGAAATCACCCAAACTAAGTTCCAATTTACCAGTCACATCGAGCCACCAAAGTGATGTTGACCAATTCCATTTCGAATTTGGAGTCCCATTGTATCCATTGAACTAGGTGCCCCATATGACTACGTGGTTATCTCTCCTAACGACTGGAAGGATAGGTATACATCTCGCACAGCATCGCAATCAACTCCACAAAGTCAAAGTGAAGCGACACTGAAAAAATCCATCAGAAGCAGAGTTCGAGTATTTGACGAACTTGTGTATTCCGTTCCAAAGTGTTGCTGGCGAGGTCCATTTTAAATTGCAGTAATCACATATCAAAACGTGATCGGAATCGTAAACCTCATCGCGATCATTTGATGGCGTCCATCTCTCGCCATATGAAAACGTCTGAACTTTCTCTAATGACTGAAACCAGGCACAACTCGGACGTCTTTACTACTCCATCTCAAGAAAATCGTTGACAATAAAAGTAAATTTACTTTAAAAAAAATTTATCACAAGCTTGTTTGACGAACCCGTGTATTTGGTTCCTAAATGTTGATTAGCTCCGCAATTTTGAATTAGGAATCATATATGAGAACGTGGTAACCTCTTCTAAGAACCACATAGTGGAACGTCTCGGAAAATATCACGAACGTTTGATGGCGTAGGTACCTCTCCATTTCCGGAACATCATTGAGACATTGACTATTGAAGTGTACAACTCGGACATTACCATCATTCCTGGCCTACTCCTTCATCTCCAATAAATTGACTGCAGAAATGAGTCGACTCTAATAGTATCCATCAGAGGCAATAGAGGTGAAAGTATTTTGACGCACCCATGTATTTTGTTTCAAAGAGATACAAAATACACAATCCCCAAAGCTACACCTAAGCAAAAAGGTAAAAAGCAACTCACCATTTCCACGTAGAAAGCGTTTCACGCGAACGGAACACACATACAACCGCACCTATCGACGATTCATTCATAAATGATTTGCACTTACGAATAAATATACGTTATGACAGCGATATAGGTACTTACATAAGAAGAAACCGATAACCTAATAACATGCTTGTATAATCCTTTTAGACAGTGACGCATCTCAAACTATACACCCACACTTTTAAATGTGGAAGGTCAACCCCAAAAATTCTGTTCCATTTCTAGAGCTTTGCTATTTCACGAAAAATGGACAAATTTCAAATCGACCGCGAAAAAGACTAGTATGATACCCAGTTTCTTTCCGCACTTTTTTCTGTTGTTTCACTTCGATTTCTGAGTTCCGCCTGCCCTCTTTTATCCGAGGAGATGTGGCATCCTATATTTGTACGTTAGTCTTCTTAATTTCATCTTGATTTGGGCCATGGATATATACTCTTGCTTTTCCTTCAAATTTCTCTACCTCAATGCCTCGGTGCTTCTTGATTACGGTTTCGGTAACCCTGCTGGTTCTCTCCTTCTTCCCTCTATACCTATCCGTCTACATCTTCTATCAATTGTGGGTAGAAATCTTCCAGGTTTTCCCTGATGTATGTATGCTATTTTTAAATTTGAATTGCGAATCGCCTATGAAAACGTATCCTGGAAACCTGGAAGGTGCGGTAAACCTCGGACAGCAGTATCATTCCATGGGCTTCTCCTTAATCCCTAAGAAAACGTCTGCTATGGAAATGAAAGGATTCTAAAAGGATCCCTCAAAAGCAATGGATGAGAGAATATTTGACGCACCCGTGTATTCTGTTTCAAAGTAGTGTTAGGTAACTTTTTCTACAGATTGGAAAGTCCATTACATTAGAAAAACATCAAAGTTAAATGGCAACACAAGATCTATCCCAAAGGAATACGCTGGTTACTTTATAATTATTCGCAGATGTCACAAAGACCTGGCACTCGCAATTTCATTATTACATATTTAATAATAGTTTATTGATTCCAGAACATGAAATCCAATTCGAAGTTTAAGAGGTCGTCTCATTCCTTGAAGGCCCCAATTTTAAATAATTACCGGGCAGTCTTTGAATATCAAAGTTGTCATCTCACCGTAAAAACTGTCCACTGGTTTACTAATGCAATAAAGAATAATAAATTTAGGTTTTGTTTTAATGAATCGAGGATTCTCCTGCAAAACGCCCTACATGAATTATGCTGGGATAATTAAATTACTTGCAAGTATTCCTAGCTTCAAAACTATAAGAGAAACCTAGGAAAAATAAACATTTGCTCTACAAGATTTTATATACACTCACCATAAACCACCCCTAAAAATTTGTGGACGAATTCTGACCACAAAGATACACAAGTAGTTATCTGACATCTTTAGATGATGCGCCATCCTCGTAAGAAACATTTCTGGACACTTGTCTCCTAGAAGGACCAAATTACTGTTTAAACCTAAGAGGATCTGTAGTGACTTTTTCTATGCAGTTTCTGACGAGCATCTAAGTAAGGACCCTGGTTAAAGTGACGCTTCGATTACTGATAAAATGCTCTTTAAATTGAATTATTTTTTAATATCAAATCAACAATTACAAACTGCAGGGCTCTGACAGTAACTAAAAATTTAAAATTAGAGAACCTTTTTATTTGCAAGCGTGCAACAACCACACAAATTACGACAACGACTTAAACCATACAAAATACACAGTCCCCAAAGCTACACATAAGCAAAAAGGTAAAAGAAACTCACGATTTCCACGTAGAAAGCGTTTTACACGAACGAAATACACATACAACCGCACGTATCGACGATCCATTCATCAATGATTTGCACTTACGAATAAATTCACGTTATAACGGTGATAAAGGTACTTACATAAGAAGAAACCGGTAACCTAATAACATCCCTGTATAATCATTTTAGAGAGTGACGCATTTCAAACTATACACTCACACTTTTAAATGTAGTAGGTCAATCCCAAAAATACTGTTCCATTTCCAGATCTTTGCTATTTCACGAAAAATGGACAAATTTCAAATCGGCCGCGAAGAGACTTTTTCTCACATATTTTGGCGTATATAGTCCAAACAGATACAACTTTTGAGGCAGTGGTCCAATTAATATTTTCGATTCTATAATATCCACTTCGAAGTTTAAGAGGTCGCCTCATTCCTTGAAGGCCCCAATTTTAAATAAATACCGGGCAGTCTTTGAATATCAAAGTTGCCATCTCACCGTAAAAGCTGTGCACTGGTTTACTAATGCAATAAAGAATAATGCATTTGGGTTTTGTTTTAATGAATCGAGGATTCTCCTGCAAAACGCCCTACATGAATTATGCTGGGATAATTAAATTACTTGCAAGTATTCCTAACTTCAAAACTATAAGAGAAACCTAGGAAAAATAAACATTTGCTTGTGGACGAATTCTGACCACAAAGTTACACAAGTAGTTAGGTATCCGACATCTTTAGATGATGCGCCATCCTCGTTAGAAAAATTTCTGGACACGTCTCTCCTAAGAAGGACGAAATTACTGTTTGAACCTAAGAGAATCTGTAGTGACTTTTTCTATGCCGTTTCTGGTGAGCATCTAAGTAAGGACTCTGGTTCAAGTGACACAACGATTACTTATAAAATTCTCTTTAAATTGAATTATTTTTTAATACCAAATCAAAAATTACGAACTGCAGGGCCCTGACAATCATAAATAATGAATTTAAAAAAGCTACACCTAAGCAAAAATGTAAAAGAAACTCACCATTTCCACGTAGAAATCGTTTCACACGAACGGAACACACATACAACCGCACTTATCGACGATTCATTCATAAATGATTTGCACTTGCGAATAAATACACGTTATAACGGCGATAAAGGTACTTACATAAGAAGAAACCGGTACCCTAATAACATGCCTGTATAAATCCTTTTAGACAGTGACGCATCTCAAACTATACACCCACACTTTTAAATGTATAGTAGGTCAATCGCAAAAATTCTGTTCCATTTCCAGATTTTTGCTATTTCACGAAAAATGGACAAATTTCAAATCGGCCGTGAAGAAGACTTTTGGCGTATATAGTCCAAACAGATACAACTTTTGAGGGAGTGGTCCAATTAATTATGTTTCGATTCTGCAGGAAAAAATCGCTATACATATTTGCCATGCCATTGCTATTTTTGATCGACTAGGAATCCAAAACAAGAATGTTCAAGATTGCACCGCTACATCAAAAGTCCCTTTCTTTTTTTGCGTCGAGTTTTAATCGAGACGCTTATGCCTTTTCTCCCAATCGCTATCACTCGCTCGATGGCTTCATGTCCATCGATTTAAAAGAGAACGGATGGGCCGATTACTATGAAATTTTGCAGGTTGATTCTTTATAAAATTTTGAATTCGTGAATTGGCAATGTAGTCCAAAAAATAAGGAAGGCTCTTCTTTCAGTTAGTTCTGAATCGAATTGCATGAAACTCAAACTAGGCAATAGGCATAGTTTTAGCAATATAATTCGCAATGCCAAAAGTTAAACCTCGACATTCACGGGCCTTTTTAGTGCATTTTTGCAAATTTATTTGTAAAAACTTCAACGCAAAGTGCGCGTGAACGGGACGTCGGAGTGGGTACCGACAAAGGGAATATATGGTAGTCCCCGATAAGATCTTACTTAAAGGCAGAAAGGCGAAAGTTGTTAAAACTTTTTTTGTTAATATTTTCTTTGGGCTATCGATTTCGACTTTACGTCATCATGATGGGGTCAAAAGTGACTAATAGAAAACTGATCCGACACAAAAATGCACTGACATCCTTCGATCTCACACCATGACTTTGATGATTTTTGTCACCTCGGCTATTTATGAACCGAATTGCATATGCTGCGAATAGTCAATACAATATGAAATGTAATGTCACCACTTTGGAATTTTAGATTTTATATCGCCAAGGCTTAACTCGTGCATGTTCTGGTGTTAGCATATTCAAATGATGTCTTTATTCAAGAGCAAGTCTCGCCGGGGTGCGGGCCTTCGCTAACAACTCGACGCTAACCAAGAAATGCCGCGAGCGGCACCCATTAAACCTAATGTGCCCTTCGGTTCTCAAGATGTCTGCAATAAAAGAGGTCTCTGTTTTTTTGGCCATTGATTTTGTGCCCATAACTTTTGCTGTAGGTACTACTTAGTCGTTCAATCCTGAAAATTTTACAGGCCAAAATCTATAAGAAACAGTTTTTTCCCGGTGGATTTCGGATAGTCATTGTTTAACAAAATGTATAGGCAAGATTTACCTATAATACTCGCCATAAAAGCCTGAAAGGCTGTTCAAATAAATCGAAAGTGTTTTAACATACAAGTACAATTGTTTTATTAATGGCTATAATAGAAACCATTCTGCCGCCTACTTCTAGGATCTTTTAAGACCTTTGGCAAGCACCTGAGCTACTCTTGAAAGGCCCTTTTTGAAAAATGATGCGATTTCTAAACAATTTGAAAATGTTCATTTCACACTCACAGAAATATGCCAATCTCTCTCAGCGGATCTGGGCCATAAGTAGCTAATTAATTCGGGGCTATTACTCCCCTTTTATTAAAATGCCCCTCGATACACGTAAATAAAAGGGTCACCATTCCGTCTGTTAATCTGATCGAGATCAAACAAAAAATCCTTAATGACTTGGCCTCTTAAAGAATTACATACTTACTTAAAATCCGTCGATAGGGAAATTTTCCTATAACGATTTTCTGGATTGAATGGATACTAGAGCCCTGCTCCCAGTGTTGGTTATTCTCTAGTAAATGAAATCTGGTCCAAAAATGTGTTTCGCTTACGCAATCACTTTTGCTTAACTTTTTTAATGACAATTTTTTTATGTAATTCCTTACGAAAAAGACTTTTATATTTTATTATTACCAATGGAAGGTTTTACGATGCCAACAATGAAACCCAAGCAAGTCTTCTTTATTACAGCGTTGTTATTTTTTGGCGAAAAGTTTTGGCACTAAACTTCATTTCTTTGCCTCACTTTTATAATTCACTTAGCCCTTAACTATAGGAGCAACAAATAAAAAGTGTCACATTTCACTTCAGCTATAAAGTTGTAATTTAGATGGTATAAACTCTGAACGAAACATTCAAACGCGCATTAATCATTAAAAAGGTAGATAAGCAATTGGTGGGGGCTGTTACTCACCTTTTATTAAAAAAGTCTCTCAATAGCTGTTTCCACTTAAATAAAAGGCTATGATCAAACACTGTCGGTCTATAGATACCTTTCATATCCTTATTCTTACATGCAGGTCAAGCTCATCCACTTTTTTTTATTAGCAGTGACAGTATAAATCACCGGGCGCTCCACAAAAGGCTCATTATACCTAGGACTACATATGGACATCTGCAAGGGATATATTCGAACCAAAATAGCATAGCCAACTCGATGACCTGTAACTCACTCACCACCTACACATGAACCCATACTAACACCTTCAATAGATGTTTAAATTTCCATTTTTTTTAGCATATCTTACAAACTTGACAACAGCGCGTATGCAACTTAGCTGAAATGCTGTAAACAAAATCAAACAAGAAAACAAAAATATTATTAATGTACGACAAAATTACAACTCTATTACGAGGTGGGCTCGTGGGCATACTTTCTGGGTACTGTAAACTACAAGCAGTGCACTGCATGGGTTTGGTAGAATCACCATCTTGTAGAGGATGTTACTCGTGCCTACACTGTTTCTTTACCATTAAAAATTCACGTCTACTACTGTTCCGCCTGCAGAACAAGTACGCCTTGCCAACTCGCCGTCGCGTCACGCTCCAGCAGCCATCCGCGGATATTCTATAAAACGCAAGAGCATTTTTTTAAGCGTCGCCCTGTAATGTTTATGCCCTGTCCTGTAAAACAAATGTAATTCTTTCATACATATGATTTTAAATACATTTTGTTTTAGTTTTAAATTGTTTTTGTTTTGTTTCGTTTGAAACTTCTGTTATTAGTACCCGTGATTCTTTTAAATTAGGGGGAGGGGAAGGAGTAATTACAGAAAATGTGCAAACATCTACCACCAACTCACAGACCAAAAACTACTTTAAAACGACACCAAACAGTTCTATTTGTTGTCAATTAGTATAGTGGCGGTCACAGTTTAAGGAGCGTAAGAGATTATTCCCTGTGAAGCCAAAGCAACAGTATTCAAATTAATTAATATGACAGCTACATCTGTATTTTTTTAGGAAGTTATTTTGAATGCATAAAATAAAGCTGCCTAAAAAAATTTTGCCATTTAAAAGTAGACATAGGTAAAAACAATACACGTAAATCCCTTTGTCTACTTCTTGATAAAATGGTATATAAAATGTTTGTCTTTACAATTTTGGAATAGAACGACCTTAATTGTATTGATTAGTAGGGCCTATACCTATTTTCATTACATCAAAATTAATCATTCGATAACTTTGCACCATAAAGGTTTATTTAAAATGAAATAATGATATAAGCAGATTGATAATTTAATTAATTACAAAATAATAGCGACTTAATAATACTAACTGCATTGATATTCCTTTTTGGTTGATTACTGTACATATTAAATCAAAATTTAAATAAAGACGCGAATAAAACTTTTATACAGCTTATAAAATAGGTACCTACTTAGCACGAAATCGAAAAATGAATTAATTTATGCCGCTAATAGGATGACAATGGATAATAACATATTGGCAGGAAAATGGAAAGGAATCTTTTCCATTTAAAGAAATCTATGTCTAAATTTGTACTAGTAATATAATAAGTAAGCCTATATAAAAATACTCACTCTACACACAATACGTACACGTTGTATACATGATATTTATTAAAATAAGTGTCATATTAGTATTCAGGGCACAATTAGACAAATAAAAGAATGTTATCGTTTAATGCATAAACTAATCGTAAAATAAATTATTGTTCGCTATCACTAATAACGAATATCCAAACGAGTATTTTTATTTGCGTTTATATCTGTACACGATAATCTATGTCTATATTTAACATAAAACAGATATTTATTGTTACTTTTAGAGGATATTATCACAACGTACTCTGGACTACAAAACTTTAATTCGTATCGTTTCAAATCATTTACATGCCTAAGTACACCATATCAAGTTTGAAAAAAAGGTAGTCCCTCCGTTCTTCCGTATACACAAAAATAATAAATACCAAACATATGTACATATAGTCATCAACATTTTTTAAATAAATAGCGAGGGATAATATACATCGTAAAGAAATATGAAAATAGTCACTAACTTTGCAGATCGCAGCTAATTTCTATAACACAATCAGATCGATTAATAGTTTCTTTCATATTCGTCTCGGTTAGTTTGTCTTCGTTCTCTTCGAGCGAGCAAGATAGCGAGCTGCTCGTCGTGCTCAGTTCGTCTAGGAAGTCGAAGCTCGCCACCGCCTCCTTTTCCTTTTCGCCGTATCGTATAAAAAAATCGGGGCGTCCGATTATGCTCGGTCTCGAAATTGGTACCGACGCACGGACGACGGCAAGCTCCGGACGCGCCGCATTGACTGGAAGAAGGTCAGTTCAGACGGCTGTCTCCGTGATGGGCGTGCATGGCGCTGACGCTGATGCTTAAAATCCCAACATTGTACAGTTCGCTCAGCTAATTGACCGAAATCACAATTCGCGTAAAAGATGATGCATAAATACTAATGATACCTGCCTGTTATCCTTGTCTGGCGATTTAATCAAAATTGTTCAAAAATATGACAGTATTCCCTTGTACAATAATTTATCAAAAACAATACTCACATGCGGTAACGGATATACATCCTTCTCAATTTTAATGAGGAGCCCAATCAGTGTTTTATACATTTCCCATATCGGTACCTATAGATCTTGTTAGAAAGATATACGGTGTTACAACTATCATATTTTCAGTAAATATAATTTTAAAATTCCGCCATAGATTAACATTTTCATACCATAATGCACAAAGAAAACAAGGATAACATAATACAATAGTAAAGTGGATCACCTTATACGAAACAGAACCTCCACATTAGTCACACCCATAGTTTACGAGTAGTTTTCTTTAAATTAGAGATAAATTCAGTTAAATACAGGCGAAAGCACTAGTGCGCAGTCGTTTCCTAGCAACTTTTACGGCCGGTATTATAAGCATAAGTCAGGCCAACAATGTTGTTGAGGCATGCCATTGGATGTTTTGCAGAGAATGATGCTATTCTTTGAAAAAACATCCAATTGCATGCCGCAACAACATTGATAGCCTGGCAACATATGCTTTATAATACCGTATATGTGTTTCATTGGCTAGAATTTCTAACAGTAACGCCGCCATTGGGTACATTTGAATTTACCGTTCAAGTAATAAACTGAATTAAAAATTCATCAGTATAGAGATGATTTGCTAACGAAGCTACAGACTTACTGTAAATGCGTTTGCGCTAAGGCTGCGTTCCGACACGGCGATAATCGCGCGATTCTCACGCGGGTCTCGCACGGTTGGAACATTTTCATGCAAGTAAGATCCTAGTGAGAATCGCGCGATTATCGCCGTGTCTGAACGTGGTGTGGCCTAAGCTTTTCAAGAAAACCGCAATAGCTTCATTACTGAATTTTTTTGGATTCGATTAGTAAATGAACAGATATGCCACCTAAAGCGCTTTAACCTATCTCAACCTGAAGATTAGTACCTATGCATTTGAACAAAAAAGAATCCAAAATGGATATTTGTGTGCTGCTTATCAATACAACAATGTATCTCTATGCCAGGTTTTTTAAATGATGTTGCTTAGTGGCCATCCTGAGCCATGTGTATGGGTGTGACGAATAGAGTTCTTCAAACATGAAAGATGCTACAGGATACGTTTAGAAATTAAAAAAATGCGAGAATGTTGTGATTACAGTGTTAAGACAAAAATGGTGCTATTTAATAGACTTTACTATTAAATAATCCCACAAGTCCCGATTAAGCTTTATTCGGTTAAAAAGTTTATGAGAGCATAAATGAAATAAAAATCTACACCACCATTCTAATAACAGAAAAAAAGAGATGAGGTTAAATTCTAAACTAAGTAATGAAAATGATACTACTGAGTTTATTTGACGTGTTTCCAAAGGCCGAACGAACTGTATATGTAAAGGATTTTAAAGTGCAAGCACACAAGCAAGTTCCCAATAAATCATTTTCACTAAAGCAGTATTGACTAAGTGCATTCATGCTTTTACTACAGGCAAGTGGAAGTAAATTTCACCAACCAAAGATTTCCAATTCCGTTAAAAGAAAAAAACGAAAACGTTTAGGACTTACCTTTTTTCTGGCGGTGAAATTTGTGCAGCCGATGAAGATGGCCATAGTCGGGCGCCTCTTCCGTTGAATCGCTACCGACACTTCCGCCGCACGACGACGTTGGAGAAGAATCGCTAGACACAGAGGCCATCATAACATCTAATAAATTGGCGCGTGCCTATGGAGCAGAAAATAAACGCTGACTAACGTTGTTGCAGGTAAAAGAAAACAAAGTGCTTTTTCGCAAAGCTGTGTGAGTCACGTAGTTTTACTGTGAAATATTAATTTTAAATGTGGAGAAATACAGCGTGGTCCTAGGAGACTTGTTGCACTCATGTGCTATTAAAAATCTTTATGGCAGTAAGGTTCTCATTTATTACGCTATAAATTTAGTTAAATTGCTAAGAAAACAATACCTACTTCTTTCCCAATCCCAAAACAATACCTATCAAAGCATTGTGTTCATAAAACTTCAATAACAAAAGGAAATTTTGTGGCACATTAGAAATTGTGCTTTTCTTGAAGGACCTCGACTTTGGAAACCCGACGTATTACTGCCGAATTCACACTAGGGCACCATGTCCTTCAGGTCACGTGAAAAATCCGGAATAAAAAAATGCGCATTACCTTGTTTTAATATCAACCTCGGTTATACCTCGAACAGCTCCATCTCTGGAATACAAACCACCAGGAAGACAATGTGGCTCATTAGTGGCATATCATTACCCCAGGAGGTCACCTAAGCCCGACAGTCACATGACGCGCCATCAGAAACTGCTTCTGCTAAATGAAGTCGAATCGATCTCGCAGAGAAAAATCGTCAATGTCAAATAAGCAACTTGCTATGGTCAAATTTAATAGTCGAAAACTAGTGCCAACAACACAATCTTTTTTAAATAGGCCTACTGAGAATGTTCTTAGCTTTTATATTTATAAGCGAGTTGAGGTGGCGGAGTGTATTGAGGCGAGTAACTACTGATTTCTCATAATTTAGGTGTCGGCAGATCGGCACTGTATTTACTTTTATTTTAAATATAACTAAACAAACCGATCCTGCAATTCCAGTATAATACTATCCCATTTCTATTGTATTAATAAAAAAAAACGCAAAATCTGTCCAATGTTGTTAAAAAAAGTTATATTACCTTGGGATCAGTGAGATCAATATCCTTTTCCACATGTATCCATCCTGTCGGTCTACACGCCTCATCCAAAGTTGTACTGTGATTATCATCACTTTTCTCCTGATTAATGACAACGTCATCCCCTTTCTGAATCATTCGATTAAGTTCGTCGATAACATCCTTGGAGGTGGCGCGCTCGTGAAAACTAACGGCCCGATGCGGAGGTCCGTCTATTATGGTACTTATCACGCCCGACGAATATTGTGGAAGTCTTTCCGAAGTGATCACAGGTTGCGGCTGGGAGTTCTGCATTTGCACGGCCTTCTGCTTCTGAGCGCCGATCGGCCTCGAAATTTTGGAACTTTTGTACTGTATCTTACTCTTTGGCAATTTCGATTCGTGTACGTTATTGTTATTGTTTTGATTATTCTTTACACTTTTATTAGGACTAACAGGAATTTTTGAAGGTGTCTGCTTTAGTCTAGGTATTTTTGAAACGACAGTATCCGGCGTGCTAGTACTCGACGTTATCGATTCGCTCATATTATTCTGCGTGTCACTACACAATGTATCACCAGATTTAATTAAATCACTAGAAATAGTCAAATTATCACTATTATCACTGGCGTCGTGGACCTTTAAATCTAAAACTGTATTATTAAAATCCGTAGCGCTTATTTCTACACTTATACTACTGCAAATATCAACAGGGTGCTCACTAATATTCGAACAATTTTCACTTTCCACATCCAAAGGAGTAACCAAACAAACCTCTTCGGCATACGAAATATTCGGGTACGATTCTAAATTTACATTCGCAGGAATATCCTTAATGGAATTTTGTTCATTTAAAGAGTACTCCGTCGCGAGCTGCTTAAGCGTTACATAATTCTCATTCTTCGATATTTTAGTCACACTTTCGGTATTTTGAGGCGGACCGTCTATGTTGAAATCCTTAGCGATATCGCCTACAGAACACGGTCTCGGGTCCTTCCCATCGCAAGAATGCACGTACTTTTGCTGCTCGGCGATGAACGTTAGGACGTTCTGCAACGCCGTCTCTCGATCGCCGCTTTCCGATAAAGCACCTCCTAAACTTCTGGAAGACGTTGATGCTAGGCTTTTTGTACTTTCAAACTTAACCAATCTGGAACGAGAAATGCAATTTTTGTAGGAAAATCCAACGTCAACTGATAGAACTTTCAGCAAAAATTGAATTTAAACACAAGGTTGGTGGACGTTAAATTTAAAATCAACAAGCGAAAATTAGCGTGTGAAGGTCCACCCAAACCGATGCGGGAATACGGGAATGGGAGCGGGAAGGATGCGGGATACACTTGTACAGCGGGATATGCAAGTATGTATACCGGTGCCCGTCGCACTCATATCCCGCTTCCGTTCTCGCATTCTCGCGTCAGTTTGCGTGGACCTTTATGCGAAAAATATGCCTACACAAAATGGGCGAAAAGACTCACCTATAAAAGTCCCTAGTAAAATCAGTACCAATAGCTGGAAGTTCCCCCGTATCGTCACTGCAACCGCTTAAGGCCGCCGACGATCGTTTCGAGTACGTTTCCGGCTCATAGGAATGGCAACAGTCGGAGCCGTTACTTGACCAGCTATTGTCAGACGAATTATTCAAATTTAAACAATCATGCACTGCATAAGGCCACTGTTTCTCCCCCTGGCAATCGTTCGTATCCATCAGCAACGCGACCAGCTCGTGACCCTCCCGATCCATCATATAACTCGAGTTATTCCACAGGCACTCGTTCGAATCCTCCTCCAGTTCCAGCGCGTTATTCTCCTGAATGCTCGGCAAGGTGGTCGACAGCGAAATTTGGCCAGGCGTCGTCGCGTCGGTTTTTTTCTCGTTGCGACCGTCGTCGTTCGACAAACTCAAACTCCAATCTTCGAGCTCCGTGTGGTCGTACTCGAGCTCCAGCATGTCTCGATGGTGCTGCTGTATCGCCGACCTCGTCTCGTCCAATCGCAGCCATTGCTGGATGTACTCGGCGTCCAACGTTGTACATTTGAGACATTCTTCCGCCGCACTCGACCACGAACTCGGACTGGTTTGGTCGTCCAAAAAATCCATGGCGCCACTTGCTAAACAAATGACTAGTAATTAGATGGTAGTTCAATTACTAGTCAAGTAACGGCCTTACCTAGCAAACTAGCGGCCGCCTTCACTCGCCGCAGTGGATTCATCTTTTTCTCAGTAATATCCAACAACAGAATGCTCGGGCTGCTAGAAATTGGCGAACTCAAAGAGTAGCAAGGGCTTGGCGCCGTTGTTATTTTAATACAGAGATGCGAGTCGGAGAAGCTTCGCATTATGTGTTGAAATGGTAAAATTTCTTTTGAGGGAGGGTAGCTGTTCCTAAAATACCTAATGAAAAAATTACGTAGAAATTTGCAATCTTACCTAGGGTTAATGCCGAGGAGATTAATAGGAATATATAAAATATCGGAATCTTGATTATCAGTAGTTAGCAGTCGCGTTTCGGCAACCTCAGTCTCATCAGTCGCTTCTTTCAGATCTTCCAATCCTCGACTAGCGCTCACGACTTCGCCCGATGCCTTGGACACCTCGGCCTGTACGTCAGAAGACATCGTGGAGTAACCTTCGTCACGGTTCCCACTCTCTGGAGATTCGTTTCCGGTTGTTTCCTCTTCACTTTTCGACGATTGTGCTACAACAAAAGTTTAGTAGTGGACATCTCGCAGACGTGGAAATTACCGATGATTGGCCTACTTCTGCGATACTTCGCCGCTTGCAAAATCGGCAATTGTAAGTTAAGCGAAACAGGGCGCTGGGGCGGTATCCACAGTGACGAATCGACAGAGGATAAAGCCTCCAGAAGCCGTTTGGGTGTTACTTCAGTCCCTTTCAGTTCAGTCCAAAGTTGCGTTAATATCTGATGCCTTTTCTTGTCTTCCAACGAAAATTGTTTGTCTAAAAAGAGATGCATCATCCGCGAAGAGTGCGAAATTGACATACCTATAAGATTAGAATCGGCAGAGAGGTGTTTTTCGGTTTTCGTTAAGATTTTGAAATTTGTAATCGTCTCGGTGTGGCTTTCGCTTGAACTATTATCCAAAACGTCAGAATTGAACGAGTTGCAGTGCTTGACAGTTAAGCTAGTCTTCATTAAGTTTGTCGGGGACACATCGGCGGAGGTGTTATCTTCGATTTTGCTGGAGTCTTCCAAAGCGAGATGATTGGATGCAGAAAGATCCAAATCGGATGCGGACATCGAGTCTCCTCTCAACTGATGAACTAACATTGAAGTTAATGCCCTATTCTGAGATTCTAAGTCCTGAATCCTTTTGTGAAGATTTGTGATTTCTTCACGCAAACCCTAAAATTTGAACATTTTTATTTGAATGACATATATGTGACATGCGATGTCTACCTTTTGCGCCAAAAGTGCTTTGACGACTTGATTTGCAACATCGTCCAAACAACGTTCGTATTGCTTTCTCGATTCCTCGGCTTGACGGTGAAGGGCCACCGAGTGTGCTTGGAGCGCACCTTCGCGACTTCCTGGTTCCGAATGTACTTTGTCTACCTGCTGCCTCAAAGTTGTGATTTCTTGGTTCAGTCTTGTAATTGTGGTCTGGTACTGTTGGCAACGGCTCTACAAACAAATATTAACAATTAATAATCATCTTTTGACACTTAGACAATACTAAATGCAAAATGGGCGAAGGTTGAAGATCATTTGAAAATAATTGCCATTGATGATTTTAATTTCTTAATAAAATAAAAGTGCCACCCCTTAAACGTAATAAAACTTCGAAATAACCCCATCTAAGACACGGTATTTTGTCAACTGCTTGTGCAAGTGTAAAAGCACGAGGAATCGATAACTTTACACGCAGTAATAAATACAAGTGTAACATAGCAACCAAGTATATAATTACCGTCATCCTAAGTTAATCAGCAAGAAGAAGATATTGCCGATATAAAGATAATTGGTTAAATTAACATTCACATTAGCAACTCGGGTAATCATAAACCAACCAACGCCCGTCCTCCCCAGCCGCAGTATAAGTTACAAACTTGTTACCAATTCCAAATTTCAACTGTAATTAGTAAAGTTTATGTATGGCTTTTCTCAATATCTCCTTACGACGCGAAGCAACGGGCGGCTAAAAATTAAATCTTATCCTTAAAAATTTGACTGACTAATATTAATGTTATACAAGATTATCGTCTAATCTGGCGTAATTAGTTTAGTTTAAACTAGAAATTAGGCTGATGTTCGTATAGGCTCTACACACCCAAAAGTTGAGCTGTCAGCCGAATGATTTTTAATTATGATTTATGACTGAAATTTGTAAGTGGGAAAGACAAAGTTACTATAATTGCATATAAGCTGCAACAGCGGAAACAAAAATGGATGTTAATACAGGAGAAAGCTATAATTAAAACTGTGCATTACTGTTGTACTACAAAAATGACCTATTAGTTCATTTAAGCTTTTCATAAATAAAACGTAGTGCTGAAAACAAAGCAAATTAGGTTATACAGAAAGCTCAATCTGGAAGAAGAGGGATACTCTGGGATAATTTTACCTTTTGCTCCTTCCAAGGCTCGTTTTGAATGTCTGCCCATAGCTTTTTTATATGTGTTTTGCAATCGAATCTGTATAGTGCAGGGGTGAAGAGTCAAAATAGGTTTCAACCTTGCATTTTGTGATAACTTTATGAAACTTTCAGAGGATGTTCTAGACACCCTAAGGTTCAATTTCAGCTATGCCGCCACCCCCGCAACCCCGGACGGCACTTGCTATAGCGGGTTTCTTAAGCGCAAGGTACCATTTCAATACCCGCCCATAAAATGGGTGAAATATGTATGTTCAGGGTTTGTTTTGTATTTTCTTACATCTAGGAAGGTTGAAGGGAATTGTCAAATACCCAGGGAGAATTTATTTAGGGTATTTTACGTGGTTTGCCTATTTTTAAGGCGCTTTTAACAGTGCGGACTAGGGAATGCAATCCCGCAGCAAAATCTCAATCCCGGTATTTGCGGGATTATTAGATGTTAATCTCGCGGGATCCCGGTATTTGCGGGATCTCGCAAAACTTTAAATAAATTGGCCAATAAGCATTTCTATGCGGTTAACTTCTGTATTAAAATAAATCGCTAATTATCACAACATTTAACAAAAAAGTACCTTCGACCTAACTAAATACCGGGATCCCGGTATTTCGGGACCCCGCAATCCCGGTATTGCATTCCCTAGTTTCTAGTCTATAACTTTTGATTGAGAAGTCTGATCGAAAAAGTACGAATTGTTTTGGATTCTACGCACCAAAATTAATAAGAAAAAGTGTTTTCCCGAGAAATTTTGGTTCAGTCGATTTTTGGTAAAAAAGGAAGGTTGTACACTGCCTTTTTTTGAGGACCTCAAAAAAATTGTCTCAGATCGACCCGGAAAAAAATGTTTCTTATAGAATGTGGCCTGTAGAATCCATAATTTCAAATATTTCCAAGATTGGGCTACTAGTTCAAAAGTTACAGCCCTTTGAATTTTCTTTCGAAATTGGTTTCTAGTCTATAACTTTTGATTGAGAAGCCTGATCGAAAAAGTACGAATTGTTTTGGATTCTACGCACCAAGATTAATAAGAAAAAGCGTTTTCCCGAGAAATTTTAGTGCAGTCGATTTTTGGTAAAAAAGGAAGGTTGTACACTGCTTCTTTTTGAGGCCCTCAAAAAAAATTGTCTCAGATCGACCCGGACCTTCCACTATTTCAGCCATTTACATTCAACTGAATTTTTACCCGAAATTTCCCATTGAAATGTCCCTCCAATTTATATATCTATCCCATTTTAAGGATAGTCGATGGGAATTGCTCAAATGTTCAGAATGATTATTGATTATTAATTTAAACGTATCATTCCCTAAAAAACGCTATTTAATTCGTTTATGCTTTGTTTCATAAAATAATTTTCAACTTGGCACCTTTTTTAAAATAAACGTAATGGGGTTGATTATGCCATTTTTGGGATGGTCAGGTAAAATTAAGAATAAAAACCCGCAACTTTCGAAACTACAAGGAATACAATGCAAGTGCATTCCCCAAACAAAAAAACCTTTTTACGTCGTCTACCAGTTTACTTGGGAGAGGGTAAGGGAATACTTCCCTGGCGTCTGTTACTTATCGTACCTTAAACTGAGTCACACCATTTCGAATTTAGCGTTATCTCCATTTTGACATATATTCACCGCATTGTACACGTAGTCTAAAGGTTTGACTCACATGCTTATGTAACTATCGCCACACGGTTCTAATAGGGGCGGTTTTGGGCGAATGTACAGTTGTTACGAGGGTGAAACAGATTAGCAACTAAACACTGAAGGGAGACTTTACAATCCCTTGATATTGATCCGTGCGGTTATTTACGGAAATTTATCTAAATCATAGGTACAGCCCGAAACGTGCGCCAAGAAAACACGCAACTTATTTAATCTCCTGACATTTGTCAATAGTTGGATGTCTTGCACTTAAGCCGACGATAAAGAGGCAATTGCGCTTTATCTCACGTAAAAATTGAACGCCAGACGCCATCCATCATTGTCACCATTAATAAATAAAAACGTACGGGGTGCCAATACTTTTCAATTCTTAAGATCAGTTGAAAATTATTCACCGCCGCCTCAATGTTTGCCAATTGTCAATATGGACGCATATTCGAATCTTCGGCAATATGTCAACGGGCGCTGTGATAAATCGCGATTTAGACACTTTTACATCCATATGGGTTGATGATTTATTTGCAAGCTACGAACATTGAGATTTAACACGTTTCTGATCAATGTGGGCTGGGTTAATGAGTATTTGCCTTTCAGTTTTTGGCAGGTACAATAGGAAAATTAATGGTGTCAAACGCCACGATAATTCCCACAGTTTATTTTTCATAATTCAGAATTATTACGGCAGTTTTGTATTTTAGTAGGATGCCCGCGATTATAGATCAATACACACTTTCATTTATTCCTCTCCTTTCCATTTGAGCTCTAATTTATAAAATTAAAATTTTGGATTTTTGCCCCCCATAAAGTTGTAGAGTTATTAATGAATCATAAAGTTGACAGTTCCTGTATGTGAAAATATTTCGTTTTTTTAGTGCAAATTCGGTGGGTTATTTATAAATAAGCACAGAGTTGGTTTGTTTTATTTGAATTTGTATTTCAGTGTTTTTTCCCTCTGTTATATGCGAAATTTTTCTTTTTCATTTTATGACTTTTTGTAAAAAGTTCATTTTAGATAAGATGTTAGAAGGAAGGTCGTCTGCGATAAGGAGGTTTATCATCAGGTAAAATTTAATTATCGCACGTGTTCTGGTGTTAATAAGATGCATATCTTATTGAAGAATTTGGAGAAATGGAGATTTTGGCGCATTTCGTTTGGATTTGCGATTTATTTAAAAATTCATAAAGACGGAGTTTATTATATGATGGAAGTGGAGTTTCTTAAACACAGGAGACAGCTAAAAAACGATGCTGCTGCTTCAGGACGGTTGAAGAGCGTGTCCAAATGTTTGCGCGAATTTTTTTACGGACAGTCAGCCCTATTTGTTCTTTTGAAGACGCAGTTCGTGATTTTTCTACTAAATTTGCGCAGAAGCAAGTTAACCAAAGTGGCGTAAGAAGTTTAACATACGACGAGATTGAAACACCAACCCTTCACAGGAGAATGTTCTTGTTTTTTAGTGTGAAAAGTAAAAATCATAGTTTTCTTATGTAAATCGCCTGTCAAAACCTTATTAAAGAAACTTTCAGAACTCAAACTGGCCCCAATTATTCCTTTCACACTTGGAATACGAACACCCCCAATCTTTTTATTGTCACGTTTACTCGATAACTTCTTTTAGGAAAGTTTTAGAAAGTTTGGCATTTTAAGAAGGTCTTTAGGGCGCATTCGACCTACATACTGTATCTCTATTAAATCTAATAATCTTTGGAATAATCCAAAATTGCAATTTTTGTGGCAAAATCAAACTATAATGCACGAGTACTTTCAGGAAAGCATTGAATAATTACTTTTTTGCAAACCAAAGGAATGATATCACTGAAATTAAATGCAATTTTCCAATCAATGATTCTCATCAGTAAACGCAATACAAATCTGTTTCATGCAAGTTCACGGGTCGATTCCTTCAGGAATATTAAAATTAAGTACTTTGAACAAAATTCCTTATGCAAATTCCCAATCAATCTCGAATCAAACTATTTAAAATCACTTACAGTTATTGACTCCTTGAAAAATTCCGCTTCCTTTAGAAATATGGAAACAAGTCGCTTCGGTGGCACAGCTGACTTTTTACCACCCGCGTGATGAATGTAAGGTTTGGCGGCAGAAAAGTTCGTATGAATTACGAATCCTACTCCTGTATTTTTAAAACGTCTGGGAAGGACCTAAATATCAAAAACGTTTTAATTTGTTTAAACGTGTCGAAGGTATAAGCGTACGAGGGAATTTCAGTAGTCCCTATCCGACATGGTCGGTTAGATAAATTGAAAACGGACTATGAAAAGGAATCTTTTTACTTTTGCACTTTTGCCAATTATAATCGTTATTATTTCCATCCGTAAATTCATATTACGCAACCGTATCATTTACCATCTTTTTACAGATCTTTAATTTTAAAAAATGCGCAAAAAAAGTAAAAATAGTTTGCTACAATACTTCACCGCATCGTGATCTGACCGATAATGTGCGTCGACCTTAAATGATCTGAGAATCCTTAATAAAAAATTACAACAACTTACAGTGATTGACGTGGGTAATATTTTCTTCTGTTAAAAATGTATCCCTCCTTGGAAAACGCCGCATTCTTTTAGAAATATGGAAACATGGTACAGAATCTGTGATGAATGCAAAACTTTAATGGAAAAAAATGTCCTTTCGTATTGCGAAAGAACGTAATACTCCAGATTATAATTTTAATTAGCGTACCCAAATTGGTACGTGCTCTCTCGCGAAAATCAGTTTAGAATTATCACGATTATGCGAAAATAAAATTCTCATACCCCAGTAATGCGTATGAAAGTCTAACTTCGACTGCGGTCTCTCAATAACGTTTTATCTGGAAAATGCCAACTTTTATCGAAAATGTACACGTTGTTATAGTTCTTATTTCCATACTTTCGTTCACGTTCGCTATGAAGCGGTATATGTGTAAATTTTCCTATGTTGAAGAAAATCCGAAAGTGGGATGAAAGTTTCTGGTAGTTGATTTAGGGTTTACGAACTTGTGTTCCTGAAACGAGAAGACTGCTTCGTCAAAGCGTAACCATTGATTTTAATACATAAAAGTTTGCTGTTCAAAATCTCGCTACTAAAATTATTATTTAACGACCAGAAAGCTATTGTCCACCAGTTAATAATATCATTCGGTATAACTGCAGCGTCATGAATAATAATGTAATCGTCCAATTAATAAAAACTAATGTAGCAATCTAGACGTTCCATTATGAATACGGATCGTTAAATTTGCTGTTGATTTAGCTTTCATTATAAAGTAAGAAATGGAAATGAGAAAATAGTTTGATTTAAATTCAAGAGTTGACGAAACAAAACGGTCGAGGAAGTAATTTGGAAACTTTACCCAATCAGACCTTTTTTTTTTCGCGAACTTTTCGAGCATTTCCTTGTTGCAATTAACTAACGTTATGTTACGAAATTATGTAATTCCGTTAGAAGTTAATAATTACTTTCCAAAGTTATCCTTTTACGGAACGTATCGGTGAAATTTAGTTTTCCCCTTGTCATTGTAGAGGAAATAACGCCCGCTCGCTTGTTGTCAGGCTGCTTGAATGATTATTTTGAAAATGTGTATCCATTGTAACGTGTCCGTATTTGATTGCGTAGAGTGACCCTATTGTTGAAAGAATGAAAAGCTTCGGTATTGAAAATTATGTAGCATTGTGTATGTTTGGGGTGTAAAGTTTAACTAAGTTTAATAAGGGGATCTGTTGGAAATGATGATGGCGTTTTACTTCTTAAGTTAAGCGCGCGTTTATATAATAAGTACTCTTTATGACGATCTAGAGCTCGAAATGTAATAATTACTTTTATCTTATTCTTATAGATATTGAGGTTTAATAGGGAAGGTAAGGGGAATGTACTAAGTTTATGTTTAAAAGTATTGTAAAAGCCGTTTTGGTTTTTCTACTGCACAAAAACAATTTCATCTTAATAAATCTCAGCATGTAAGCCAAAATTAATTATTAATTAATTATTTTAATTATTAATTAAATTATTAATTAAATTAATTTTAAGGAAATGCGTATCTGGTGCTTGACCTTAAAAAATGTGCGTTTGGAATAAGTGCGGAATTCTTAGGTTCCCGTCTCCTGTAGCAAAATTAAAATATCCTTCCGAAAATTCCCCCAAAAAATTCTCCTCCATATTATTGTGTAAACTAGGTCATGCAGACGTTACTTTGGGCTTAGCGCCAGCAGTAGGTAGTAGTGGAGCATCCTGTATGCGGTATAATTACAGTTTTTAAATGCAAATCTGGTGTTTTTTACGAATAAATACAAAGAGTTTTCATGTCGGATTTTTCTATTCAGGTAAAAAATTCTTTAGTCGATGACGATTGGGATTCTGAATGGTGGGGGGGTATCGCGGTCTCCCTGTGTGAAAAGATGTCTCTATCGACAGCGTTCTGTGGTAGGTTTTTACATTGGTTGCCTGTTGGTTACAATGGAAACATTTTAACTGTAAATTCAGACTGTACGTAAACTTGTCGACGGAAAGTAAGGCGGTATGGGTTATCCTGGATGAATGTTATTCCTAGATAAGTCCCATTTTTTGTTTCAGTTGATTTCTTTTCGAAAACCCAACTTTTCATTAAAAATTGGCATTGTCAAGTGGCCATTTGTGTAATTTTGTACAAAAAAAGCTAACAGCTTGGCACGTTGCGGAGACACATAAATATATGAAAACGCCCCGAGGCAACTAGAATTAAGTGTATTATCTTTTGTAAATATACGCAATTAAAATTGTTTAATTACGACCCGCACTTGAATAAAAAAAGTAAATTAACATCATAATTAAAAACGTGGCGCTAGCCAAATTTACTGCTTATATTTGGAATAATTTTGTAATTAAAATTTTCCCTGAAAATGGGAGGTTTTACATTGTACGCGAAAACCTTTATAAATCCTAAGCACGACGAAAGTGTATATAATTACCAAACGAAATATATAAAATCTATTTCGTATAACAGCATTATTCGCTTTGAACTTGGTTGCCGACCGGACCCTATTCACAGTATTTTGAGGGGGGTTCGTTTACTGGAGGTCCTGCGGTTGCATGCAAACAAGGGGGAGAGATCCCGACATCTTTTTATGAATTCGCTGCTTCTGGCAACCCCCTCGGGTTATCCCTAATACGTACCTTGTTCGCACTAACTTGCTTTACCCTGCTTAATTTGACTTCTTGAAAGAGACGGGTCGTTCTTTGCATACTTCCCATTTCTTGTAATGATAATGAAGGATCGTTTCCAGAAAGAAAAATATCAAAGACAAAGACTGTAAACTTCCAATTAAGGTGCGGGAGACTTACTGTAAATAATTAAAAATTGGCTTCATTTTTGCAAGGCGTCCTTGAATAGGAGTAGGTATCTATTAAGCTTATAATGGCAGTTCGTTAATGGTGGGGTATTAAAACTCTATTGCGCACTATTTAGAATGGGGGGACAGCTTGCAAGGGTGGTCTGATGGGTGGTCATTACAGGATGCACGGCTGGAATGAGTTGCCAACTACACGACGTGGGGGTTTAATAAAACTTGCACCATTCATGAACGCGGCTTGTGTTTATGATGGAAAATTAGAGTTTTCCCGGGTGTTAATATGTACTTGATTTATGGCTTGTTTGGTTTTGACGCGGATATACTGGACTGGCTGTGAAGGGTTGGAAAATTCGTTTTTCCAATGTCTTCAACTAATCGTAGATTCCCCGGCTCGAATTCAAAGAACGAGCATTTCGTACCAAACGATGCGTGTAAAATTGCATTATTACACTGATATCTGACGAAAGTATGAATCCGGGAATGTGACAGGAAAAAAACGACCGTATGAAAAATACCGTATATCATTTTTCAGGCAACGCAGTTATTCTCATTGGACAGCTACAAAGCAGAGAGGGTAGAAATGAGGGGGCGCATACCTATTAGAAGTAACGAGGGATTTACTTCAAATTTGTTACGTTGTATCGCACTAATTTGCCAAATACCTTTTAGCCCCAGATCTACCTAGAAACCAAATTTTCGTTACCCTACCAAAGAGCAGATGGTAGGATTCTCAAAATTATTTACGGGCAGATTAATTGTAGCGACGTTAATGAAAAGCGAATTCATTTCAATTAATTTTAAGTAACGTCTTCAAAAAATACGCTCGCATTTAAGGGGGGTTTGAATAATTTTGAAAAAGTTGCTTCTGCGGAAGGGCGAAAAGGAGAGTGCCGTGATTTTAAATAATTAATTAAGTTTACTAATCCTCAGTGAATGGAGGAGACCCCAGTTTTAATCTTCGGCCCTATTTAAGTTAAATTATTTAAGTGAAAGCCTTTAAGCGCGAGCTATTGCTAAAATATACAAAAATAATTGAAAGAAAATATTTCTACTACTTAAATGGAACTTAAGATCCTATTTAAAATTCAATAAATTCTTTCCTACCTCGAACGCAACAGTTAATGCAGCTTTTTCTTGACGGAGTTGCTCAGCTCTACTCTTGTAAACGAGCATAGATCGGACTGTTTCTTCCATCCTGCAATGAGAAGGAGAAAAAATTAGACAAAAATTCGCAACTTGTTGATTAAAACGAATATTCACTGGTTTTAACTCTTGTTTTTTAAGTAACATCACATACTCTGTCCTGAATAGTAATAGCAAACCACTAGGGCGATTGACAAAATCGCGTTATAAAAAATATGTTTTAAAGAAATATAGACAACACAGACAAACAGACAGAAAGTCCAAAATTTAAAGAGTTAGTCCCTTGACTATTGTCTACCTATTACTGAAATCAGAATTACAAAAAACGGTTCACGAGTTATTAATGTACACGGACGGACGGACAGAGAGTCCAATTGACGAGTATTGATCAAAATTCGAAACCGTTTGTGAGTTATCATGTATACAGACGGACGGACAGAAGGTGTAAATGACCTAAATTTAATCAGTTAGTTCCTTAACCATTGTCTACTTATTACTGAAATCAGAATTAGAAAATTTAAAACCGTTCGCGAGTTATTATGTACACAGACGGACGGACAAAAAGGCCAATTGACGAGTACTGACCAAAATCATGGGTGGGTGGCTCGTTAATATTCACGACGACAAAATTCTTAGTTTTCCACAAGTTCCCACCCTACACTGAATGCAGAAAAACCACAGCGTTCTCGGTGCTGCGAGTAAGGTCCTGGAACCCTGGAATTTAGGCGGACATTAAAAAAGAATACTGTACAATCAATTTGACACTAATATTAGATGTTTTTATCTGATCCAGGGGGTGCCGTTGCTATTCCAGGAGTAGGAATCACAAGGAATCGGAATGATTCGAACAGACGGAAAACGTTTAAGAATCTGATCGATCAAAAGAAACTAAAGAATCTGGAAAATTTCCAGAATCGAAAGAGGAAACGGAAAAACCCAAAAAATTTGAACCATTCACACTCATGTTCGCGTGAAAAGTTATACAGCCAATTGTGCATCTGCATGAGATAGTCTTAAGCAGGTCTGGGGGTGCAGTGTCTCTACTCATCCTCTTTTCCAACTTTTGTAGACTAGCCCCACTCCATGACCTGGTCATCAGGAAGTGGAAATGTGCTGCGCCAGTGGTCGGAGGTAATTTAGCCAGATTGAGTTTGGTGGTAATTGTCTTCAATTTGCTATAGCGAAGGGATCTCAACGACTGTCCCCTACTGCCACCATACAGGAAGATCAAGATTTTCTCCCCTGATGCTGAAATTTCTTGGAGACTGACAGCAGGGTGTTCGAACCTCTTCGCCTGCGCCCACACTTAAAAAGTTGGCAAAATTATTCTTTCCAAATCCAATAGAGGAAGTTGATTGTCACGTTGCTGTACTTCTCCATTTCTTCAGCAATATTCTGGCACTAGGTCATCCCAAGAATCCGATTAATCCTCCCCTTGTTTTCATATCCTTCATCTGTTCAATAGTCGTATCGGTCCAAATACCGGAACAGAACTTTTGTGATCTTCGCGCAGTGAAATGACCCTGCGTAGTGAACTTCTGAAACTCATCCGGGTCCAATTTGTCCTTCAGACACAGCATTTCTAGCAGATTTTGCATAAAACCAGTGGCCTGCAGCATGAAAAAAGGGAACATTTTCTAGACACTGTTCAGATGAAGTTGAAAATCGCCCACTCTCTGCTTGAATGTACTGCATCCAGTTGGTCTGAAGAGGCCTGGTGAGTTAACAAGTGGGCCCGCACAGCTAGTGTCCACTCATCATTTTGATGAAGCTATTCTGAGCATAAATAGTGGCTCACTGTATTGCAAAAATCAATCGCAACTAGTAATTAGCACAGACAAGTGGAGTAATCATGGTACTCCAAAAATTTTTTTTCATTACATTTAATTTGGTCATTTAAAACGTTGTGCTATGGTCAATCATCTAACACAAACTTGTTTATCAATTAATACCAACTAAATGGTTATTTACAGTTCTACTACAGCATATTGCACCTAATAATAAGAGACAAAGATAGACTTGTTACATTCATTTTCTTGTGTGACTTTAGCGGGCTGAAACAAAAATCGACCCACATAATCTTTAATAGAAAATTGTAGCTTAATCGCTGGCAGCAAAAATATATTTTTTTGGGTTTAGTTAAATTTCTACGACGGAAAACTCTTTGCATCAAAGGTTTCATTGTTCAAACAACTGTAAAGACATTCAAGCTTCCAGCGCGCTTTATAATAAATTAGTTTCTTACCTGAAACTTTAATGAAAACGAAAAAAAAGTCGAGTGTTATTACACAGCGGCATTAAATGAATTCGTAGATAAAATACTGTAGGCACGTCTCATTGCCCTTCACATAAGTCAAGTGGTACAGATGAAACCGAGGGCCCTTCAGATGCCCTTCGTCAGCCACTTTCCTTTGATGCCACTTCATGTCATCCACCTTCTACTGCGTTATCGTTTACAACGGAATAAGTCTTGAGGATCGCGAAAATGGCAAGGGGGGTAGGTATTATTAGAAATCCTGAGGAATTTTTCGCTTTCAAGTTTATTACTGAAGCGTCCTCCCCCTGGATGGTTTCGCTTTGTGCGTTAAGACAAAAAAATTAAATGCGACGAGACAAATGAACTTATACCGTGCGAGGTGAAGACAGTTCGTCTTTTGCCAAATGAGCATGTTGCTACAGCAACCTTTGGTGCTACTGCCTGAAGGTAGGTATAATTAGCGGGTACTTTTTGCTAATTACACGCTTTATTTGCTAACATTAAATATAATTGTTGAGCATAGATTTCCATCACAAGATCGCGCTTTGAGTTAAATAAATATAAAGTGAACAGTATGAAATTTTCTCTTAAAATCAGGAAAGGCCCTAACAGATTTCATAATTTCACCTTTGCTATTTTAAACTCAGAAAACAACCAATGCGACTATCAAAAGAGCATACGCAGTTTTTTTAGGTCTCTGGTAAGCCTTCTGAAAATTCAAAATACTCTACGAGTACTGAAAATACTTTCTAAAGTTTCACAGTTATTTCTAGAGCTCTCTATACCATTTCCAGAGGTCCATTCAATGCGTTCCAGATCCTTTCGCCATTTGCAAAGAACTAAGTTCACAAACCCCTTTCAAAATTGTAGGCCAATTCCTCTACCATCGCAGGGAAGGATTTAAAACGCTTTGAAAAGAGGCATTTCAAACGCTCCGGAAAGCACTAAAAGACTTTCCAAATTCATTCAAACTGGGGTATATTTTTGGAGTTTGAAGTTTTCTTGAATTCGTTTTGTTGGGGTGAATAGCACAAAAGGAACCGTTTTCTTTGATACACGGCAAGAAAAACCTAGAACATGTAGTTATGTTCCTAGTCACTTTAAAGATCGTCTGCTGCCACACGATATCACGACTGTACAGTAAACTGTGACAAAGCTCAAGTAAGTAATAGCGAGAGGGAAACTTTGAATTTCTACTGCACACCCCTTTGAATTAATTTGAATTTACGTGAATTAATTTTAATTAACGTGAAATAATTTGAATTACTGTGAATTAATTTGAATTAACGTAAAATAATTTAAATTTACGTGAATTAATTTGAATTAGTGTGCATTAATTTGAATTTACGTGAATTAACATGAAATAACATCAATTTAAGTGAATTATTTTGAATTAACGCGAATTCATTTGAATTTGAATTTTTGGTATACACCAAAAGTAGTACTTCTTTCACCCTAGCATCAGTATATCACCCTAGAGATTCTATCACTAATGAGATGGCAGAACTCATAGAACATTGTGAGAAAAACATATGGGGAAGCACTAACGTCAACCAATCATTACTTGAATTATATGATAAGTAACGGGTGATCAAATACGAAGTACTTTTTCCAATAGGGATTTTAAAACACTTTAATCAAGATAGCTGTCATGTGCATATGTGTTTTTTGTTCATTATTAGTTGACATTTCACCATGAACAGAATTTCCAAAATCAGTGTTTAGTAAGAAATGTTTTTGGTGCTCTTCGGCCATTTTATGGTGGTCATAATCGTCCAACTGAACGCATAATGAAAAAATCGTTGCCAAAAATTCAAGATATTGATGTAGCCGACTTATGGTTTCAACAAGATGGTGCGACGTGCCATACAGCACACGAAACCATCGATTTATTGAAAGAAACTTTTGTTGAGAACATCATATCAAGAAATAGAGCAGTGAATTGGCCACCAAGATCCTGTGATCAAACGCCGTCTAAAATCACTTGTTTATGCCGATAAACCACAAACTATTCCTGCATTAGAAGCCAACATAATACGTGTAATTAATGAAATTTCGGCCTAAATGCTCGAAAGAGCGCTTGAAAACTGGACCCATAAAATGGACCATCTACGAGTCAGTGACGATCAACATTTAACAACAAATTATTTTTAAACATTAAATGTCATGTACCGAACTTACGTATCAAATACAATTTTTGATTATTAAATTGAATTTAATGCGTTTTATTTCAAAAAAACTTTCGAAAGCTCTTATTTGATCACCCTTTACTAATGTAGAGATTCTCAATCCGGGCAGTGAACCCACGTTGATAACTACCCGAAGCCAGACTGTGATTTATCTCAGTCTGGCATCACCGAGTATCTCTGACCACATAACGAATTGGCAAGTCACTCCAGAAGCGACTATGATCATAAAATAATTTATTTGAAATTAACTGCAAGGGAGCCGCCCAAAAGGGTTATGGGAACTTCAGGGTAACATACAAAGATCACATTGGAGAAAAACTTAGAGAGCACCCTTTTGGGAGACGCCTCTTGGGTCCTGCCAACGTAGATCTTCTTACCAACTCCATTGTGAAGTCATTTGAACATGCATGTCCTCTGAGGACTGTCAAGACGCGCTATAACAATCTCTGGGGTGCAGGGCGCTCGAAAATCAGAAAACTCAATTGGGAAAACTGTTCAATAAGGCAAAGAAGAGCAAAGCTATAGTCTATAACAGCGATTCTCAACCTTTTTGTAATCGCGACCCCCTATTTACTGGGTCTGATGACCAGGGGCGGACTGGCACGG